TTCTTGTGTTTGCTTGATTTTTTTTCCTTGCGAATCCCGTCTTGCTCTTTCTTTTCACCTGCATTCTGCACCGTAATTTCCAAAGAACARAAATTTTTGTTTTTTAAGTTCATTGTCTGCCCYTGCCGTGCYATCTTCTTCTTTTTTGATGAACCTTTGGAATTTTGGAGTAATTGTTTACTGCTGTGAAACGAAAGATAGAAATAAGCTCAAATCTTCAGTACAAGCTCAAGCATATAGCTATAAGCATAAGATTTACTAAGCTTACTATGGTACAAGGAAATGAACAAACTTTGCTAGCTTTGACTTTTTTGCGAACAGCAATGCTTTATAAATCTTTAATCACAAAATCTTACCATTTTTCAAGAAAAGGCGGTTTTGGTGGTCGGAAATATGGTATCCTATCATTGTTGCTGAGAATACAGGAACGAAACAAGACAAAACAAAAAAACAACAAAAAACAAAACAAAACAAAACAAAAATCGTTAAGCGTGTGACTAAAAGTTAGTTAAGAAAATGTTTGTTGAAAACAGCAAGCTTACCGGTCTGTGAAGAAAAGAGATGTAGGCATCTGTGGACTCTAGAAGTAGGGTAGTTTTATAGTATATTCTTTTTGATTTAATMTGTTGGACGAAAGTAGCTCATGACCTTGATTCCCGCCAAAAACGCGCGCGCGTGTGGTCAATCCATCGTCTGGTCTTCCTGTGTTACAGCGATTCCAACATGGCGGATGACAGAGACGAAAGTACGAACGAAGTGAAAGTAAGCAAAGCATGTGGGATAGTTGTTAAGGAGATCGACGATGCCAAAGGAAAAGCTTTATTTGCAAGTAAATCCTTTTCTAAAGGAGATGTCATTTTTCAAGAAAAACCTTTAGTRTGTGTGCAGTTTTTATGGAATGCAGAGTACAAGTACCGTGCGTGCGATCACTGCCTGAAGTCGTTAGAATCTTCTCAAGATATGGCTAGAAGATTAACAGGAGATTATAGTCTTGAGTTACCTCATACAGAACAGTGTTGTGATGTTCTGAAATGTCAAGCAGAGATAGTCACATGCCCCCGATGTCAGGTAAAGGAAGTTGCGTTATGTTTCACTACCGACATCGGCTACCGCTGACATTTCTTTTTTTTCCCCAACAATTATGAACATTTTGTATTCAGGCAAACAGCGCTTTAAAYTTAGAAAAATCGAAGAGCTCAACTTCTGGACGTTTTGAAAAGTCCTTGGGGTTTTGTACATAAAACATAAGTGTATTTTTGTAATTTACCAATAGATTTCTTTTGGTCTATATTTGTGACATCACTATAAATCTATGATTGATAGACGCATATACATTCCTCCAGGTGATATACTGTTGTGAAGATTGCTGCCAAGCTGCGTTCCAACAGTATCACAACACCCTTTGTGTGGGACATCCAGGAGAGAACCCAGACCACCCACTTATTAAGCTACAAGAAGCATGGAAGTATGTAAATACTATATTTTTTGCAGTTGTTGCATTGTGCACTCCCACACTTTTCCTATTTTTATTTTTCTTCCAAATCAATTCCCAGTTCCACCATCCCTCCTTTGTTTACTATRCTCTATGGTGCTAGAATTAAACTCATGTTATATCCAGGACAATGCACTATCCACCAGAAACTRCTAATATAATGTTAATTGCAAGAATCATTGTCATGGCCCTTCAGGTAATAAAATACAAATTGAAATATGTCTGCAAATCAAAATTCAAATTCAATTTTCATATTACATGGTTCAAAAAGAAAAGAATGTGCGAATCTGCATTTTGTTGTTTCATTGCAGTCTTCAGGGGGTCAGGTTACTCCTCAGATGTTAAGCAATTTTTGTCATTCAGTATCCAACACYAAGGAACAAATTGCACATAAATTGCTTGGGCCCAAATTCCAGGTATCTGTAGAAGTAAGATYCAGGGCTAGCCTCTTCACATGTCTTCAATATTTTATCATTTTGTATATTTTTGATGCTTATATACTTTTATTTTGCAAAGGAACAATTAGATATTATTAGACTCATGATGGCAGAAGTTCTGTATGATGAGAGACTTGAGCAGGTCAGTATTTTATGTCATTTAATTTGTATTCATTCATTCATTCATTCAACCATCCATTTAATTTTATTTGATAAAGTCATTGTATCTGCAGTGGTTCACTCCAGAGGGTTTCCAGTCTCTYTTTGCTCTTATTGGAAGGAATGGCCAAGGAATTGGTACTAGTTCTMTTAGTGTATATGTAAAAAACATAGATAACCTGCCTGGCTGTTCAGATGATGAGCGTCAAGCTTTAGATGTATTCCTTGATGATCTCTATGATAAAATTGATAAGGTGTCTGGGCAGTTTCTTAATTGTGAAGGATCGGGTCTTTAYGCATTGCAAAGTTGCTGTAAGTATGTATCTTTATGCAAGTCTTGTATTTGTTGTGCCTTGCAAGATATTAGTGAAATGAGGATTGATGATAAATAATGAAAAGACCTTGCATATGAACTTCATCAAAATGCTTATGATGAGAAACTTGTACAAAGTAGTAATATTTTATTATGTTATATTTTTAAAGGTAACCACAGTTGTGCTCCTAATGCCCAAGTAACATTCCCATTTAACAATTCAACTCTTGTCTTGGAGGCTTTAGGGGATATACAAGAAGGAGAGGTTGCTATCACATTGAAATATGTTGACATTAAATACAATGTGGATGATGTTCCTGATGATGATGAGAATGGTAGAATATTAATATATGCAGACAATGGCAAGCTATAGATGAGCCATTATACATCTTTAAAGCAGATTGAATGCAAATGAAAATTGTTACATAATGTGACGATGATGATGTAGGTGATGTTGMAACTAGCCTGAGTTTTAGGCTCTCTCAAAGGGGATTGGGGCAGAGCAACAATCCGCTCCAATCCCCTTCGAGAGAGCCTGATACTCAGGCTATGTTGAAACAACCAAAGATGACAAAGGCGATGATAGTGATGAATTCAATGATCATCTAGGACATTGCTTATTTTTTCAGGAGATCTTTATAAGCTATCTGGATGATTGTCAAAGAGAAAGAAGTAGACATTCCAGGCAAAAATATTTAAAGTACGTAGCGTCTTTCTTTCTGATATTTCATCTAAAAATTAWTCCTTAGCAACCACTTTTCCATTATGCATGACGTCTGCTCAAGTTGAGATTGTTTTGGAAATGAAAAAAGGTCTTTTTAGGCTGACGTACCAGAGTTATTTATAATTAATGGTGAGAGGGCAAAGTAATTCCCGCACCCTAGGGCTCGAGAGAGCATAACGTACACTTTAGCTTGAAATTATCACTAAAATCTATTTAAATGATTTCTTTTTATTAGAGAGAATTACATATTCACTTGTGGGTGTACCAAATGTGAACTGGAATCTTTCCAACCTGATGAAACGTCGTGTGAAGAAGATGATGACGATGATGATGATGACGAAGAAACTTAATTGAAATTCTGCTGTGGGGAAGRAACAAAGACTTCATGGTCGAGACTACAAAGAATATAACGCAKCAAAGCTGCTATAAAGGGAGAATGGTTTTAATATAACGGGACAATGTTTTGAAGCTCGTATGATGTCTCGTTGAAAAGTTTATTTTGGATCAGTTTTATTTAAAAAGCCTACTAAAGACTGAAGAAAATCAAAATAAAGACAAGTTGTCAATTATTTACAAGTAATAATCATAAGACCAACTTTTTTTCCAATATGCTAGAGCAGGAATGAACGAGTTGATATTATTATAGGAGGGGTTAGCCTCCTTTGCAGACGTTATTAGTATCGGACCGATACTAATAACGTCTGCAAAGGAGGCTAAGGAGGGGTCAGTGAACGCTTATTGCCACGTGATGAYCTTGTGCATTAACAGGTGGTGTTATATTCCAGCTACAAGTATCCCCGTTTTTAATTTCGAGGCTGACCAGTTTGAGTTGTAAAAGACACTGAGACCGCTTTAATGTCTCAAAACATTGTCCGCTTTGATCGCAATCAATACTGAAAATCAAACAAAAAACTCATTTCAAATGACAATATTTTCTTTCGTTTCTAACTATRACATATCATTACGGTAGGGACAGCTGGTAATTGATGTGCCTTTTTTTTCTTTATTGGTGTGTCGTTTATCATGAAATTGTTGGCTCAACCGAGTTACTGAATCATTGTAAGAAATAAAAACAGRAATGAACGGAAGCAGAAAACTGACATAAAAGAACAAATACATTGATCATGAACTGGCATTTAAGGAAGTGGAATTGGTTGAATTTATAGAATCTGAAAATAAAACCGAACTTATCATGATAGGCTCATTCTTGAACCAAAAGTGGCTCGAAATCACCCAAAATTGCCTGAAAATGTTCGAAATCACTTTAAATTAATAGGTTTTTTAGAAACATGTTCACTAAATCGCCTCGTTGCACAGAGTCGCTCAAAGTAATGCGCCTACACAGAGAAGCGAAATTGGAATAAATAAATGAAAAGTGACATTTCCTATATCAATTTAAGAGAACCATCGTTTGCTTTTTAAATGGCGCACGAATCTTTCTCGGCTATGGCCTTAATTTACTTCAGTGGTAAAATAGCTKAGATTTAGAGATTGTAGATATTAATCTTCAATACTGATAACAACAATATAAAAGAGAATATAAAAAAAACGTCCCGATGAGTCTCAATGTTATCTCATATGTTACGGCATGAAGTGGCCGCGAAGAGAASCGCACTTTCGTTTCTCACTATGGCGCAATAGGCAAAACAATCGATAATCAAACCAATGAAGTTCATTTCTATGTCTTCTATCCTCTATAGGAAACACTTAAACTGTACAGATGAAACCTAAAACGGCGCACGAGATATCGTCTCTGCGGGCTACGAAGGGAAAGAGGGAACATTTAATTCCTCTCGTTTTGATGACGTCGCGTGGATATAACTGATTTTGTTGATAAACGACTCCAAAACATCTATAAAAGCAATTAGCTAACTTGAAATTTGAAATGATATTTTTTTATCATTATTATTATTTTCGGAAGTCAGTGCATTTTATATGCGCAGCCTGGAGGTTCTAATACAAATGAAGTTGTATAACGCTTGGATTTGATTGGYCCAAAAAGAAAACCTATAATTTTACAATATCTTGAAATACCCGCAGCTTGTTCTTATAAAACGCCTTTTAACGTCAAATCGTTGAAAAAATTGTGCCGTCTTGTCRAAGAAAAAAATCATATCCTACCATGATTTTATGGCTTGACACGTAGTTGTAAACTATAGGAACAAGAAAGTGACAGGAAATTCACTTTCCTTTCCGGTAACCATGAGATCCCTGCAGTATTCTACTAAGGACTTTGTTTTCAATCTAAACTTTTTTGATAAAAAGTACCAAGTTCTATCCTTTTTTAAACACATGACATGATATGTTCCTGAACAACTATGACCGGCAAACCCAAACTCTCCTTGGCTGGTATGTTCATTAACTACAGATCCTCTTCGACTTTTACACCCACATGTGTGGAAAAACAACCACGCTTTGACGCATAATCTTTAGAGTATTTTTTTAATATAACCATTTGATCATTATTTAAGATATGCAAATCAAATGAAAGAAAGCCATCTGCGCTGTGCATCTTACAGCAATTGTAGTGTAGATATAGTACTTGTCTATTTGTTTGCTTTTGAGCTTTGGTGAAAATTGRACCGCAAATAAAAGGGAAATGAAGAATGAATGGAAAACTTAATGGAAATAACAAAAGAAATCCATTTTGCTCAAAGCAATCAGGATTTTTTTTGCTATTTAGCGCGTAGCCGCTGATCAAGAGCAGGCTCAGTCTGTCTATATTTATCGTGTGTTATCGTKTTCTCACAAAGATGTGTGAGCAACGGTGTGGGACGATGAATTGAACACTACTTTGGTAAACCATACACTGAGGCAATGGCAATCAACAAGAGCACAGTGTTTGCTCTGTTGTTCCTGCTTTTATTGCTGTCAACAGAAACAAACTTAGTCAAAATTCATCGTGCTTCCCCACGAACGAAGACCAAGTTGACGCAAGAGAACAATGGATGGTTTGCGATGTGTCGATTTCTTCCCGACTTTTCAAGCCTTTTCTCGAAGAACAAAGAAGCGTGGCTTTACTCAATTCCTTGTACAATCCTTGTTGGTTTATGYGGAGTATTTCCACTTYTAGTCATCCCMGTAGAATCGGGACATGCATTGAGAGAAGGCGGTGAGTTTTCGAAATTTATCTCGAAACTTTACCACAATCCACTTAATGATMTCTTTTTCACAGATTTTACTCATTCTGCGAAAATTTCGCAATTCGTAATGGTCACTGCCTCTCTCTGTAGCAAGAGAGTTTCATGAAGTATARAAATAATATGAATATTTCAGGAAGGATTTTTGAGTTGTGATTTTGCGTTGCTAGAGAAAACGCTAGATCAGTTTTATTAAAAGAYAAATTGTTTAGTACTTTCAGCTGTTGATTATAAATGAAGGCCTTTAAAAAGCGCGAAAATCATGTACTATTGCTGAGTCAACACGTATATTTTATTCTCTCGCAAACTTTAAGCTTAGATAAGAATTTTTTTGAGTTCTATTATTATTGAAATGTCCTTTTATTTTGATTGAATTGATTCGCTTGAGTGAAATCGAACTGTAAATACTTAAGCGCTTCCAAAAAAGAATATTTTTGTATACTTTCCGGGTACCGTTTTATAATCACAGTTCTTGTTATTTCTTGCAATTTGATTACATAATACTAACAACAAGTTTATATACTTCGAGAGTATCACATTTTACTTATCACATCGATCAGTAACTCTTTGAAACTCTTTTGGTTTAATAAAAAGCTATGTACTGATGAGCTGTATGTCAATATTCTCGTGATCAGCGTATGTTGACAGCGAATACGATACAATGAGAATACTGAAAGAAGGTTCAGTCTCAAAGAACACGAATAGATTATTGACATAACTTAAAAATGCATAGAATTTGTCATGCTATGCTGCCTGGGTGACACAAGTTAGGACAAGTTATGCACTTTACATACAAATTGAAATTTGGCCCAAAACATCTTTGAACCTCCCTATTTGTTATCATTAAACTTATTTGATCTGGCTTGGGATTTAATAGAACAAAAGGATATGGGAACCCAGTTTCAGTATCTTTGTATGGATAATATTGTATGATAGTATCAGCTGAAGGGCTCTAAAGCCCTACTCACAGATGTCACATGTTTCAAACTAGCATATGTTATTCATTTTTAGTATCCACCAAACTGTGGACTGAGAGTGAATGACTTGAACYAATGTGTAATCGATGTAGGTGTAATAAGATCGTCTGGGTGCAAGAAGTCTAGAGAAAGTATTTGGTTACCTAACATTTTCATATCTTGCATGRAAGTTATCTTCAGAAGTCTTCTCCTGTGCAGGATGTTGAAAATGTCAGACAACCATTCTTTCCCAAGACTTCTTGCACCCAAACAATCATATTACACCTAAATTATGGAGTATCACATTACCTGAGCATGGCCTCATGGACTTTAAACTTGTTATTACCTTGATCAGGTGGTCTAATTGTTAAATAGTGCTGTGATATAAATTCCTCGCAACCTATTGGACCAGGTTATGATATTATATTTGAATAACTAGTTCTTTAGTTGAAACATTCTGCCTATTTTTAATAAAGATTACATATCACACAAATGAGAAGTTTAAAAGACAGTGTGTCTTTCCAAGGGTATAATGTTCATGTATATTTTGAAAGCCATAGAAAAAAGGYACCATTTTTGTCAAAAATTCTGATTGTGAAACCCAAACTACTAGTTTAATAGGCACATTGAATACTATACTGCTAGTTATTAATATAATGTTTTTAATAATAAGGAGTTATGTATCATAGCAACTGAAGTGTTTGAYGGCTATGCATTTCTATTATAACTATCCTATTCATTCTTTCCAGTCTTCATGAATTTTTTTCTTAGCAATTTTCATAATATAATGGAAGTATCTGCATAATACTTATAGTTTGAAATTTTTGCCTTAATTTAAGTGCAAGTTCATTTTTTAATCATTCTTAATGTCATTTTTCTGATTTAGTCATTTTTAGTTSTCCCATTACTCAAATTAATTCTTTCACTCTCATGAGCTCTCAAGCTTTCCAGTCTTGTATGATCACACAATTGTAAGAGCACATTTGTATTGATTTATGGATGACAAATATTGGAATAGTTTTAGGTCATCTATCAGTGTTAGTTTACCTAAAAAGGCCTGTGCAATGCAGTTGTTTGGATAGTATTTTTCCTATTTGCCATATAACTTCAAAAAGCATTCTAAGAAATGAATATAACTATTGGAATAAATACTATAAACAATAAAGAAAATAATTGGAATGTGGGCTATACTGTTTATCTGAATTGGATTGTAAGTTGTTTTAAAGGATATTAATTCATCTTAATCTTTTTTACAATGTCAGCAAGAGTTAATGGCCTTGCTATTAAACAGATGTTGAATGGTGCTTGTTTTTCTTTCAGTGACAGCAGACCACCTGAAATTGCTATTATCCTTTGCTGTTGGAGGGTTGCTAGGAGATGTATTTTTACATTTATTACCAGAGGCMTGGTCTAAAACAAATGGTATTTGAAAATACTGTGTTTACATTACAGTAGAGCTTTCTATTTTTTGAATAATTTGTGAGAGCTATAGCCCGTGAAGGTTCCTGTCATGAATATTCATGTTCTTGTATGTTTATTATGATCAGATCCTCATTCAGTCAACTTCTCTGTTGGATTGTGGGTACTTGCTGGAATCATACTTTTCTTAATTCTGGAGAAAATGTTTGATGATGAAAAGGAATCAAAAGAGGAAAAAGAAGACACAAAAGTATATTATTCAGTCATTCTAATCTATACGCTTCTAAGTAATATTATAGTTATAATGAATATTATATTCTTTCAGTGTGAAACGGTTCAAAATGGAATTTCACATGAAAATGGAATAACAAAAAATGGCAAACTCAATGGGCATATACAGATGGATACAAGTTCAAGCATACGAAAAAGACATGCAAAGTCCACAGAAGAAACAAAAAATGAAGTATCTTGTAAGAATGAGCAACATGAACCTGATCACAAGGTACAGTTTGCAATGTTTAAGAGTTATATGTTATTTATATTTTGTAGTACATTTCTATTGCATATATATAGGTTTAATATTAGCCAAATGTGAGTTGTTTCGTTATTGCAGGAGAGCAATGTGTCTATTGAAGGCGTTTAATGTGTTTTAGTTGTCGGGATAGCATTGYCAAAATACTATTTTTCACTAACCAATGGTCTTTTRTTTTACAGGTCRTAGGTTACTTAAACCTGTTTGCAAATATTATTGATAATTTCACTCATGGTCTTGCTGTGGCTGGGAGTTTTCTAGTTAGTAAAAGAGTAAGTGTGCTGAATATTATGTTACCAGTTAAAATCCCATCCATTCATCTATCCATTCAATTGCTCAATTTTTCATTGTATTTTAAGTAAATTAAGGTCTGTTCCATATGACTGCATTACTTAATATTTTGAAGGTTGGCTTATGTACAACATTTGCAATATTACTTCATGAAATTCCTCACGAGGTAAGAATTATCATCAGTATTATTTGCCATTTATTAATGCAATGTGCCTTGTAAAAATGATATTTCTAAATAATAAACAATTATTGTTGGGTATCTACTTATCATCTTCCAGATTGGYGATTTTGCAATCCTTATCAAGTCAGGGTTCAATAAAAAAGATGCTGCAGTTGGCCAGGTAAAACCTGTGTGCATAAAATGTAATAGTTTCTAATAGAATTGTAAAGTACAACATGTGTTGTTTTTAGATTGTAACAGCATCAGGAGGGCTGTTAGGYGCTATAGTGGGACTTATAGCTGATCATGCAGGTATTGCAGCACTAGAAATACATTTTTACAAATTCCAGATGGCTGCCACAGTAAAACCTTTTAATCTTTGATGTTACATCAGTTACTAATAACTGATGTTTTTAATTTTTTTAAGGTGATCAGACGGCTTGGATACTTCCCTTCAGTTCAGGAGGATTTATCTATATTGCCATGGTAACCATAATTCCTGAACTATTAGAAGAGAAGAGACCAAGGTAAGACTTGTCCAACCATAATATTATGCATCTTTTAAAACCATATTAACTCCTTGTATACACTGTTTTGCAGGGAGTCAATTAAACAGATTGTGATGATGTTAGCTGGTATTGCGTCAATGGCACTGGTATCGCTTATCCACTAGTAGAAATAATAATAATCTTAGAAATTAATAATCTAAATAATTGCCACAAGTGATTGCACATACATTATCTATTAGGCAAGTAGTACTAATAATTAGTGATAAACATAATTAGTGTTTATACAGTACCATTATGCTTCATGGATTAAGTGCATGCAGTTTACTTGACAGCAATTTGTGTATTATAGTATAAATTATAACTTAACAGGGATCAGGGATAATAAGAGCAGAAAGCAGGATTTTCCTGGATGATATTGTAATGAAAACAAGATATGGTAAACAATATTGTGTAAAGTTCACATTCAAGATTTGTCTAGTTTTTGAAGATTGAAAGGCATTATTGCCACATTAGATATTGTGCACTATTTCTAGTTTTCCTTATAAATTAATGACCATAAAAGAATATTATGTTACCTTTAGTGTGACAGTGAGATATGACAGACAGAAGAGCATTCTGTTAAAACTAACCAATAATGGGGAAAATAGGAAGAATTTTCAAACAAAATTAAAATAGAATAATGGACTAATTAAATTAAATTTGGGTAAATTGAAATTATAATTTTAGCTTCTAAATGAGCTATGGCTCTATTTTGTGTTCTACAGAAGAGTTCCATAAACTAAATAGAGCACTTTAGTACAGAAGTGGTTATCAAACAGGTTGTGACATCATGTGCACACATCATATTACATACACCATATACTTCACTAATGTCCATATTTTATAAACTGCTATATTTTATAATTAAAGTAGATTATTTTTATACCTTCTTTCACAACCTTTTTGGCAACCATTTATAACAAGCTGTGATGACTGCTTCAACACAATTGTCTTATACTATAAATTCAATATAAATGTCACACMTTGTCATGAAGATAAATGAATGACTGTTGAAAATAAATAAATTACTCCAAATCAACACTGTTTCATTAATCTTAAGCATTGTCTGTGAACAATAGATCAAAGGATCATTAATGAAGTCTTTTGTTATTTTAATACAAATGAGAGGTACATCAAACTAAGGACTACAGTGTCGGTAATTATCCCAATCATCCAAGTTTCTTTAAGGGAAAGCAAAGTATGTACTACTTGTCCAATTATACGGCTTCTATGAAGAACAACAAAGTACAAGCAAAGAAGAATATTGTTGTCATGACTGCTAAATAGAAGAGTAAAATCAAATCAAATCATGGAAGGTTGTTGTGCATGCACTGAGTCTTTTAATATCCTTTCTTTCCAGTGTAATCACACTGCCTTTATTATATTGTTACTCCATCGCATTAAGAACTACATTCTCTTGTATATTACTTACTAACCGTCTTACATCTTTTCAAACAGTAGTCTAACGTATAACTTTTTTTCTTTGGTGCAACTGCATTACATTCTAGAAATGTGAGTTTCCATCATACATTTCAAAGCCTTGATTTGAGATGAAGTAACAAGAATATTATAATCTTTTTTAGAACCTCAACYAAGTTCCTTCAAATATCTATTCAGTGTAATTATAGAAATATTTGTCTTGAATTCAAAGCTTTCCACCATATTTTGCCTCTACTTTTTTTAAGTCAATGCCTTTATTTTCAGGTATATGTCTATTTCTGCAACGTTCACCAAAACTGCATCCAGTTGTACGCCAGAAATAGCATTCATCACCATTYACTGGCCCTGTTAGTTTGGGCTTCTGGAAACTAAATAAAMGAAAACTGTTAAAATAATATTTCTAACACAAAAGGTGACTGTTCATAAGACCCTGCATTAATAATCTTGTCAGATTAARTGATATATTGTACAAATGTCAYAACATGTCTTACTTTTCACTGACGAGAGGTTGTGAAGAGGGTGGAACACCACTGTTATTTGGATAGCGAAGTAGTAGATTTTGTCCACCAGTCTCAAAACCCTATTTGAAGGAAAATTCAATTTCATATTAAGAAAAAATCACAAGAACACTCATTCAAGATGTCACTKACTAGTCTGTTAATATTATGTAATCATTGAGTAAAAAGAGTACTTAAGTATACAATACCTGCAAAGCATCAATAGCTCTGGCAGCAGCTTCTCCAGTAGTATAATTTATAAAAGCACAAAACCGTGATGGTAATATTTTAACAGATTCTATCTTTCCACATTGAGCAAATATTTGTTGTAAATGAGGTTCTGTAATAACTTCAGCATTAACATTTCCAACCCAGACAGATTTACAGGATTTGTTTTCAAGTGAAGTTGGTAAGTTTATRCTGTTGCTTGGCCTACAGATGGCAATAAAGCAGATGAAATAACAATGAATCTGTATATTATAATTACAGACATCTTCAGTTGCAAATTGATATTCATGGGTAATGACTGATGTAACATGTTTCTCAGGCCAGTGTGTTAGAAAGGATGAGCATACAGTACAGAGGAATAGGGAAGACAGACAAATACTAGGTAAAAATGTCAATCTTTTCTCACCTTACTGTATTATCATCTTCACCATCAGAGACATATATATCCTCAGGGTTAGGACATTTTACTGTCAACAAAAGATGTTTATAAGTCATAAAAAGGATTAAAATCACAATACATGACAAGTTACCTTTTCCTGCTAGTAATGCTTCTAATGCAGATTGTACTGTTGCATACTGATGTATAGCTGCTTCACTTTGTAAAGTAGAAAACCCCATTTCCTATAGTTTGATAATAAATTAATAATATATTTAYATTTTATCAACAAAATCCTTTCAAACCCTACCTCAAGTTGTTGAACTCTAACTCTTGCCAATTCAAACATAGCATCTTCACAATTTTTATCCAGCTTAAGAACTTGAGCAAAAGCCATTTCACTGTCAGCAAATAACTAAAACAAGCTTGCATTGGTAACATGTCAAAAATAGTGTAACTGCATTGTAATGAACTGTCTACCTTTATTCCTGCAAGGGCCCTCCCTCTTCTGAAGTATCCTTTTGGCCAGTCTGGTGCTAATGATATTGCTATATCRGCATCCTGTAAGGCTTTTTCATATTGTCCCAAACGATCAAAACAGTAAGAACGGTTTCCAAAAAATCTGCAAAAACAGTAGATGTGTAAGAAGCTAATAACATTAGCAAAGAATATTGAAATCAGTGATACCATCAATAACGAAAAAAAGCAATGCTCGCAAGACTAGTTTCAACAAGAACAATGCATCAAAAGGCACATGACATTTCTATACATTGYACACCAAGAATGCCAAAAAAGAGTGACATMTATTTCTTMTAATTTTTATTKGGAAGCAGTACCTGAAATCCCTTGCATCCATTTTTATAGCTTCAGTAAATAGCTCAATAGCTGCTCCATAATTTCCATCATTTGCCATTGTATTACCACGTACTAAGAAAACAAGATGTTTACAACAATGTATTTCATAAACAGCAAGTAGCACTCTCCAAAGAACATTATATGAAGTAGCTACATCGTGTAATTTGGGAAGGGCATTTTAACCATTTTAAGAACTTTATATCAATGGAGACAATGCATTCACATTGTTACATTTTTACCTGCTAATTGACGACTTTTCAGAATAACAGGATCCAACTGTTCAGTAGCTGCTTCATTTTCATTTTTATTAGATTGTGTATTGGTTGGAGTTGAAGTAGTTGCTGTATTAGTTTTTGATGTATTTTGTGTGGTAGATGATGTATTATTMGTTGAATTTGCAGGAGGATTACGTCCTGCAGCTCTGGCRAAGAATGCACTAGACTGATCCCAGTCTGGTTCCTGTGAATGGTATTCATATTRCATTTCATTTTAGGAGAAAAAAAAATATTAACAAAGTTAATTGAGTTGCAAGATGAAAACCCTTTATAATATGTCTGCAACAAGAGTAAAGTGCTCTTACATCTTCACTTGAGTCTGTTTCCCCATTTAGTTGTGATCTGAAAATAGAAAATAGAATTATTTCAACATCAAAATTATTATAATGTAGAACATTCATGGACTACCTGTGCCCAAAAARCACAGGAATCCTGAAGGCAATTTACAAGATGGTTTTAAGGTGAACATGAAAAAGGATCATTGATATTCATGGAACTTACTTTTTTAAATCCTTTGATTTATGTTCTTTTTTATTTTGAGTATTCTGTGTCTTTTCTTTTGTGCCATTTGGCATTGGTTTATTTTTGACAGCTGGTTTATTATTTTGAGTTCCTTTTATATTGATTTTTTCATTTTGTACAGGTGGAGCCTTGGTAGGTTTGTCTTTTTCATTAACCTGTATAGTATTACACTATGTAAGTAATAGTAGAACTAGACAATTAATTAATGTGATTGTCAGCTCACTTTTTTATTTTCTTTTTCATCATCTTTATTTTCTTTTACTTGCTCTTTCTGTTTTTTCTTCTCTTTATTCCGCTATAAAATTATCAAACATTGAACAGTCAAAATGTACATATGAACTATCATACAAAACTGTGTTAATTATCAATATAAAAAATAAAACGTTTCTTGTGGTGTGTGAGGTGTGAAATACCTTTTTCTTTTGCCTGCGTTTCTCAGCTTTTTTTCTTTCTCTTTCTTCTTCTTTAATTAATTCCTCTGCATTTTTATTAGCTTCCTACAATATAAAGAAAGTGACAAATACAAGGAATGGATATTTAAATTATARCAGAATAATGAAAAAATGGATGTTCAAGTTGAAGATGAACAACAAAAAATAATATATATTGTTTTGACATTTTAGTACTTACTGCCTCTGATAAATTATGGGCTGGTGTGCCATTTGTTTTTGTACAATCTGCAAAATATTTCACACTATTATATATATATATATATGCAAAATAAGACATGTACACTTTTAGCAAAACATCAAACAAACTCTTACTTGTTGAAGCTTTACTTCTATCATATTTATTTCTCAGTCTTGCTGCAATGTTATGCAGCAGTTCATCCTCAAGATCATTATCATCATCACTATTATCATCATCAGACTCATATGCATGTCGAGAGTAGTCAAATATACCTATCAAAATGATAACCATAGGACAATTATACCAATCAAGCGGATAATATGAATTTAMCACAAAGTGGCTAATGAATACATACCATTACGTTGAAAGAATACATGAGCAAATATATCAAACATATCTGCCTAAAAAAAGAAAAAAAGAAAAAGTTGAGATATTGTTTTAAAAACAACAAAAATTGTCGAGAGTTAGTGTAGCTTTCTCAAAGAACTGTGTATAACTATTACCCTTGATAAGTGTATTTCATCATTTGTATCATTACTAGTGAGTCTTTTATATGCTGAAGATACTTCTTGAAATCTCTGCAATGAAACAAACACCACATAAATTATAACCCACAGATGTGAAGCAAATACCAAGTTCAGCCACTAACCTCTGTTGCTTCTGTGCTATTTCCATGTTTATCTGGATGCCATTTTAGAGCCAAGCGTTTATAACTTGCACGAATTTCTTCTCCAGTTGCATCTAAAAATACATACAAGAAAATGGAACTAAACAAGAAAACTAGAAAAAAGATAAAACTATTAAGTGAAAATATAAAAATGATAACAACTACTCTGATACATATTATACATTGTTAAAKAACTTATTACTAATGGTAGGTATCAGTAATAACTATTTTTTTTACTTCAAATATAAGCCAATGACAAAAACTGTATTTATTTTAGCGAATGTACACATTTCCTGTTAAATGGAATCTTAGTTTCAACAAATATATAACTGTAGATCTTATTTTGACAGAACAAWCAAATAATATAATTTACTCAACAACTTTAAATATAAAGCAATGACAAATGAATGCCTTAATCAATTTCAAATTGAATGTAACGTCCTATGAAACGGTAACAATCGATTATCAATTAGAACATAACAGACATTGACTACATTTTGACAGACACAACAATAGACAARCAAAGCTATCTCGTGAAAACAAACCTATCGGCATTTTAATTGTATTCCTTAAATTTTCACAAAAAATCACTTTATTTATCAACCAGCAATGCATTGAAAAGTGAAAGTGGAGAGTCTATGTAACCGCAGATTATAAAATCATTRTGACAATTTTGTGCAACGCTGCACATTTTTATGCGGAACTTCCTATGTTATCGTTACATTGAGGTTKAATATATTGTCAATTACTTTCACGGCGCTATTTGCCTTTAGAATATATTTTCTATGAAGCCAAATAAGCATGCAAACCAGGCAAGTAACAGTCCGTTCTAGAGAATGGAAAATTCTTCTTTATCAGATTTCACTAGTTGAATGGCTAAAGTTCACATTTCTTCCTTTTCAAATATTGTGAATGATACAGTCGTTCAAAATAAAATGGCACTAGCAATTTAAGATATACCTCTGTGTAGTTCAAGGATTCTCAAGGCTTCTTCTCTCGTTATACCCATGTTTTGTTCGTTTACGTATCGGTGCTCAGGCTAACATGCCTTCCCTGTACGCCATGTTTTCACGTGTAAAAGTTTGGCGCCTCCAGAGATTTATGGGTAATTTTATAGTCTCGTGATGCGTCAGCTGACCAAACAATTTCTTTGGAAATGGAGAGGGGAGGGATCGGGAGGGATGAGGGACGCGTGTTCTCTTTTATTGTTATGCTTTCTCTCCTTTTTTATTTTACTTCTCGTAAATTTGTAATACTTTATGAGAAATATGAAGAGGGGATGTTTTGCAATTTCAGTAAGATTAGCAACAACAAAGTTTATTTAAAAATCCACTTTTTCGAATAAGAAATATAAAACTACATTGTAATATCTGATGACTGGCCATAAGGAAGTCCCTCATCATGCAAAAAGTCGATACTATTGGATATAAAACTTGTCAGACAGAAATATAAGACTGGAGCCCGCCAAACATATTTTCCCGCCACATTTATAGAATCAGCGGTTTTACCATTTCACGCATGTGTAAACCTGCAAGCCACGTCTTTCAAAACAAAATGGATGAACAGGTAAAAAGAGGAGAAAAGTTCATCATATTTGTACATTTCTCACTTAAACTGTGTTTTCAATAGGATATAGCTCAACTTGAGCTCCTGTGCAAGCAACTTTATGAAGCAACGGACACARCATCTAGAAAAAATGCAGAAAAGGCTCTCGTGAACTTCACGAGTTCTCCAGACTGTCTGACAAAATGTCAGTTTCTCTTGGAAAGAGGAAATGTAAGAAATACTCAATATATGTTGATTTCAGCTAGACTAGACATTTCTTGCTTACTATACAACTCTTACTGTCCCTGATATAGGAGAACTTAAGTATGCTACAATTAGATTGGAAAATGTCAATGTATTTTGCATTACAATAAGAGGATGTCCAAGTTTAAATATTTTGTCCTGTGCAAGCGTGTGTAAAGCTTGTTTTCAAAACACTATCCTGAACTGATTTCTTTGCACTACTCCTAATGTTCAATATTCTGTCAAATTRCAAGAAGAATTATTCATGATCAGTTATAATTTGTTTAACTAAATCTTGCAACCCACATCACATTCAAATAAAATTAGAATAAAGCTTTTTGATTTGGGTTTATCAGGTACTGCACTTAATTTATAATTGCTGCATTTATAATTAATTTATGATTGTGCTTCAAGAGTTTTGTTGTCATGGTGATGCACACTGTCTAATTATTATTATTATTGATTATATTATTTTTATTTTATTTTGTCATAAATTAAGCAAAAAAGGAAAGTCATGAAATTTACAGTACATTTTGAAAATCACATTTTCTGCATTATTTATTGAAATATATTATTCTGTTTTGCAGTCTCCGTACTCATTGCTGCTTGCAGCATCATCTTTAACAAGGCTCATAAGTAGAAACACTGCATTACCAGTAGAACAGAGACTTGATATCCGTAAGTTTTGCTTATTGACAATGTTGTTACACTATTATTGATTGCATCTAGGATATGTCAATTYTCTTTTCTTTAGGGAATTATGTTTTAAATTACTTGATTACAAGACCCAAACTTGCAACATTTGTRTCTCAGGCATTAATTCAGGTAACATGAATTTCATTCAAATTTCATTGGTAAACTAGAATCTAGATATTGCACATTTTTGCATGCTAACTATGMTTTTGCATGTCTCTACAGCTGTTAGCTAGATTAACSAAGTTAAGTTGGTTTGACACACACAAGACYACCCTTGTATTTAGAACTATAACAGATGATGTGGGTAAATTTCTCCAGGTAATGACAAGGTTGTATTCACTTGTTCATCCCATTTTCATATATAACTTGTACATGTCAGTCATCCATCCATAAGTTCTTTCTTTCATCCATCTATTCCCTCTCCCTCTCTCACTCATTCATTCATTTATTCTTTTAACTATTTATTCATATTTCCATTCCTTAATTCAGCTATATTGAAATTTCAATTTTAATSTAATGTTTAAATATATGTTATCAGAGCAATGTTGATCACTGCATACTTGGTGTACAAATTTTATCCCAGCTTGTTTGTGAAATGAACCAGGTAAATRCTAAACTACTAWGAAACTGAAAATTTCACTGGTATTTTAAAATTACTCTGAATTATTGGATGTTCTTTGTTTAGTCTGACACAACGAGATCATTAACCAAACATAGAAAGGTAACTGATAGTTTTTATAAGGTGTTGTTCTTATACATGTTGTTGTAATTATATGCAACTGTCAATGATGATTTAGTTTATGGTTAATATTYAATATTCCTATCAGATTGCATCATCATTCAGAGACACGTCATTGTTTGATATATTCAATCTGTCAATCACATTACTACGTCAGGTGAGATATTGTAGATGGATAGTTATTGATTTAATATTTGATTTTAGGCATTATTAATTTACTATTATTTGATTTTAGGCATATAGTGAGCAGCTTAATTTGCAGAATGAGAGTCAAGTGAGTTCATTGTTTTTGTGTTAACAATATACATTTATTTCAACACTTTGTCTAATCTACATTACTTTTATTGAAATTGTTCTAGCACTCCCTTATGAACCAACTGCTGCAGTTAACAGTAAATTGTCTTACATTTGACTTTATTGGYACATCTATGGATGAATCATCTGATGATTTGGGAACAGTACAAATCCCTACAAGCTGGCGAGGAGGCAAGAAAGTATTTAATAAGCTATGTCAATCACAAAACTAAGTTAACATACTGCATCTGTTTTCAGCTTTCTTGGATTTTACTACGTTGCAGTTGTTTTTCAACCTCTTCAGAGCTCTACCTTCTTCTCTGTCACCTATGGTAATGTGAATACATCATTCAATAAATGTTTTGATATCATTATATAAGTGATATAATTCTGATCATTCTAATGCTATCAAATGTTGCTTTATCACAGGCCTTATCCTGTCTTGTCCAATTAGCATCAGTAAGACGATCTTTGTTCAACAACACTGAGAGGTCAAAGTTCCTAGAGCAGCTAGTCCAAGGTGTCAAGGCTGTAATGGAAGAACCYCAGCTTCTTTCTCATCCTAATAACTATCATGAGTTTTGCAGACTACTTGCCAGACTCAAGTCTAACTACCAACTCAGTGAGCTGGTGAAGGTTGAGGGATATACAGAATTTATTGCTTTGATTGCAAAGTTTACAGTTACAGGATGCTTACAGGTACCATTATGCAAAGGCATAGAATAATAAAAGCACTACCTTTCATTTTGCTATTCCCTATGTACTTAAGTCAACATGCAATTCAAATCAGCTGCTGCAATGTTTGTTAATTATTCATGAATCAAGTACTAAGATCTTTATTTCACCAGATGTGGCAGTTTCCACCAAACAGTATTCACTATCTTCTTAGTCTTTGGCAAAGAATGGTTGCATCTATGCCTTATGTCAAGAGCACAGAACCTCATTTATTGGAAACTTATACACCTGAAGTATGCAGTTTTTTCAACATATGCTAGACGTACACATTAACTAATAGGGTCTTTTTGGGTTACAATTTATATATGTTTTGGTATTTGGTTTTACAGGTTACCAAAGCATACATCACCTCTAGACTGGCATCAGTGGAAGTTGTCGTAAGGTATGTTAATATCAATAAGTATTCATCGGTTTCATTAATCAACACCATTCATAGTCAGTTGGTAATCACCTTTTAACTTTACACTTCTTATGAAGTTTATTATTTTGTTTATAGAGAGGGAGCAGATGATCCTCTTGAAGATACAAGCACTGTACAACAACAATTAGACCAAGTATGACTACTGACATTAGCCCTTTATTTGCCAATAAACATTTCTTCGCTGATAGCATTTATTAATGATCATCATATCATAATCACAGGAAGTATTAACTTGCTATTCATATACTTGTAGCTTTCTACCATTAACTACCATTAAGTATTAACTTGCTATTCAATATACTTGTAGCTTTCTACCATTAACTACCATTGAGTATTAACTTGCTATTCATATACTTGTAGCTTTCTACCATTGGACGCTGTGAATATGAGAAGACGTGCACTCTTTTAATCTCATTATTTGACCAAGCAGCTCAGAATTACCAAGAATTAATGAGCAACTCAAGTGCAATTAGAAATGATATTACTATACAGGAAGGTATGTAATTGTATCACTTCTTGGTAAATAACAGTGTCATCTTGTCTCAATAGGCAGTCTTATGTATGATGCCTCTTTGTTTTTCCAGGAAGACTAACATGGTTGGTATACATCATTGGATCAGTGATTGGTGGAAGAGTGACATATGCTACAGTAGATGAATATGATGCACTGGACGGAGAACTTGTTTGCAGGTAAATACAATTATTATTTGTAACATTCTAGATCTATTACTGGGGTTCACCTTCAAACTGTGTTCTTCCTTCATTTAATAGAGTTCTTCAACTGATGAACTTGACAGATTCTCACTTAACTCAAAGAGGGAGTGAAAAGCTAGAACTTGCAATTTTAAGCTTTTTTGAACAGTTCAGAAAAATATATGTTGGTGATCAAGCACAGAAAACATCTAAGGTGAGAAGAAATCAATTATAGCTAAGAGATTTTATATAAGACCTACAAAATGTATATTAGACACACCTTAATAGTATCTTATATTGTCTAAAAGTCTGATAAAACATTATTAACAATCTGAAGGTGATGTCTTTTTGCAATCTWCTCAGGTTTATAGAAGACTGTCAGAAAGACTTGGGCTGCATGATGAATCTTTAGTTCTGAGTGTATTTATAGGAAAAATGTAAGTGATGTCCCCTTCACTCAGCCACACCCATCTTAAGAGGTTGGGTAACCACATTGCTGCCTATTATCATGTAATAGTATTATATTATATGGAGTATATTAATAACAGAAGATTGAGATGGAACTGTATCCGGTGTCATTGTATCCTGGAATTGCTAAATGAGAATATTAAATATTTTTTTAGAATAACAAACATGAAATACTGGGGCAGCAGTGAGACCATCACATCCAAGACTCTACAACTCTTAAGTGATCTATCTGTTGGATACTCCAGTGTTAGAAAACTTATTAAACTTGAAGCTGTTCAATTCATACTCAGCAATCATACGGTATGTAAATTAGAGTGTGAATTCTTGCAAGCTGATTGGCTGATTAGAGTTTGTTGAAAAGAGCATACTRTGCAGACATCATATCTTGCAAATAAAACATGTATTATAAAACATGGGGTGATGAATATGACGCAACCAGATATCTACTTTGAATTGYAGAATGAACACTTTCCATTTCTTGGAATACAAAATGGAAGACCGTATTSTGACATGAGATGTAGGACAACATTTTACATAGCACTAGGAAGGTTGCTAATGGTTGACCTTGGTGAAGATGAGGAGAAGTTTGAACAATTTATGGCTCCTATAACTAGTGAGTATTGTCTATTTTGTGTCAGGTAACTAGAAGTATGTAATGTTAATATTGATTGATAATGTTTCAAGCTGCAATTGAGTCAGTRGCTGCTCAACTTACTAGTGGTGGAAGCATTGCATTTCAAGTAGAGGAAACCAAGGTAATACATATAAACCCTAGTGTATCTATAAGTAGCATGTTATAGTCATCATTATAGGAAAATATTAAAGATAGCAAAACTAACTGATAATTATTCTTTTACAGAGGACATTGGTAGGCTTATGTCGAGATGTTCGTGGACTTGCATTTGCATTTAACAGTAAATGCAGCTATATGATGCTCTTTGATTGGATGTATCCTTGTCATATTATTGTTTTGTTGGTACTTTGAAGACTGATTCCTTAAATATATCATAGCATGTCTTGACATTTTGAATCAACAACRCAACAAAATCAAMAKYMAAATATAATATTTTTTTGGTGTTTTTCTCTAACCTACGTCAAGCTACCCAACTTACATGCAAGTGCTGCTACGTGCTATTGAGCTGTGGTATCATGACCCTAACGTCACCACACCTGTTCTTAAACTAATGACAGAACTAGTACAAAATAGACAGCAAAGACTACAGTTTGATGTCTCATCACCTAATGGCATTCTTCTGTTCAGAGAAGCCAGTAAAATTATCTCAACTTATGGTAATAACCTAGCATTACTAATATATAAAGAATTAGAACATTAGTTCAATGAATGGATGCGTGAATTTACAATTCCGTGATCAGATGAAACAGATATAAGAATTTTTCAATCAATTTACAATTTTGTGAATGAAGTGTATTTTTTTCTTTCAGGGTCCAGAGTGCTAACACAAACAGACACTCCAGATGACCAGTTATATCCAATGAAGTATCCTTTAGTATTTAAACATCTTCTTACAGCCTAGTTAAAGATATAAACAGGCAAACAAGAACCTATAAAGTCTGCCTTGTGGATTGTGCCRTATTTTTTAAMGACCACAGAAATTTTATATCTAGCTTGTTCATTTGCCTTCACATAATTTTTACAGATTGAAGGGTATCTCAGTGTGTTTCTCCATGCTGAAAGCAGCATTATGTGGTGGTTATGTAAACTTTGGAGTGTTCAGTCTATATGGAGACAGTGCATTAGAGAATGCACTCAATACATTTGTAAAATTACTGCTGGCTATTCCTCGTAGTGATCTCCTGGTAGGTGGTGCAGTCAGAATCAATGTAAACTCAGGTATTATTACATTAACTAACTCTTTTAAATCACATGTAGGAATATCCTAAAGTAAGCCAGTCATATTATGCACTGTTGGAAATTCTAGCTCAGGATCACATGAGATTTCTTAGTAGACTGGAACCACAGGTGAGACTATAGCTCTTTATCAGATTAGCTGCTCTTCTCTATCTGTCTAATGATCCTTTATTTTTGTCTTTCGTTGTATTTTTATGTTCAAAAACTTAAATTGTACTAACTTATAGGTATGTCATGGTCATTGTATTGCAGGTCTTCATGTACATATTATCTTCCATATTGGAAGGATTAACTGCTTTAGGTAAGTTTCCCAGCCTTGTCACTATCATTGCCTTTATTATGATTATCAGTATCTCTGTTTTCATCAGATATCAGGGATGTCYTTTATGTATTGTTTTGTTTCCTTTAGATATTATGGTCTGTACAGGCTGCTGTGGTACCCTAGATTATATTGTTACKTTTCTATTCAAAACTCTATCAAAACGAAGAAAAAAGAATGCGCAAGGGATGAATGAAGCACCATCTTGTCTGGGTGTCCTGGAATCCAACCCAGAAATWTTACAGCAGGTTAGGCAATAGACTTCTGAACCTTTTACGTTTCTACTTGATTTTCAATGCATTGTGGGATCAGTTTSCAGAGAAAACAAAAGAAATCCGCCATTTTTTGTCCCAAAMATATCCTACAGTGCATTGCGTATATGGTATAAGGCKTAAAAGCTTCAGAGGTCTAWCGGAAGACAATYATCATTATGTCATTGTCAATGCCCCCAACATACTGCATAATAGCATTAAATATTGTGGTTAATATTKTAATACTCACTTAACACATTTTTCCTTTAATCATGGAGTAGAGCAGATTGTGTACSAATGTCCTTACAAGGTTTTCTATCTCTTGTAGATGTTGTCAACTGTATTAAATATAATCATGTTTGAAGACTGTAGAAACCAGGTAAGCTGCAAATCCTTYACTATTTTATCATAGAGAACGTACATAAATCATGGTTTTCTGTGTTGCAGTGGTCCATGTCCAGGCCCTTATTAGGTCTTATTCTACTGAATGAAGAGGTTCGTAGATTGGTATTAAATGACACAAATAAACAATTTGTCATTAATTGTAACTTCATTTCAGTATTTTAGTGAATTAGAACAAAGTGTTATATCCCTTCAAACACCTGCCGATAAGCAAGAAGATATGAGACAGTGCTTTAGAAATCTTATGGAGGGAGTTGAGAGATCGCTGATTGTTAAGAACAGAGACAGGTGAGATCAGTAATTGGATTAACATCTCTTTAGTAACAGTTGTGTAAAAAGATAAATTTAACACCGTAAAAAAGTATTTGAAATAACTTACTGACTTTTCGGACTTTACTCCGACGGAGGATTAACGTCCGTAAAGGCCGGAAAGTTATTTCAAATACTTTTTTTACGGTGTTAAATCAATTTATCTTTTTACACAACTGTTTCTTTAGAAACACCGAYGCAGCTCACACTAGTTTACCGCTAGTTCCCACCATCTCTTTAGTAATGTTGACTTCTTTTATTGGGTCTTATTGATTGTTATGGAGAGTGCTGTAATATTTTGTAATTTYATTCCATTCTTTAGATTCACCCAGAATTTGTCAATATTTCGACGTGATGTATACAATTCGTTGAAAACACCAAATGTAACTGTAAACGTTGCGACAGGGAGTGACATGGTTGGCTAATGTGTTCCATGCAATGCAAACAACTTGGTCAGCTCACTTCAGGTATGGGAATGGTTCAAAATCCAGGAAAAGTGAAACACTACAGGAAAAGCCCTGCAACACTCAACAGGGCTAACCTGTCACAGCGAGAATCTTCAATGACAAAGAAAAGTAAGAATTATTAGTATTCATGTAGCTCCTGAGACATTAATTTCATGCAGACAGAAACTCTTGTAAACACTGAAAACTCTGATAGCTAAAGTAGTTCTGAGACAAGCTAGATGGATTTTGTTGAATTAATCTAAGTTTTAAAGATATATCAAAATACAAACAACCCTTTGTCTTCCCATAATTGYCATTTAACAGAGAGACGTAAAGTGTTACTATTATTTGATACAGTATCATAGTGATGGGTTGTAAAAACTGAGGAATGATCTCCAATAAAAGGTTTATATTTTCTAATATCATAATCATGTGTTTCTTACATGGCTTGTTGCCATTCAATMAACTATTAATACCTAATGTTCATGTTTAGACATCCCGCATGGCTTGTGGAGAGCTTAATATTTGTTAGTAAATTAAAGTCATCATCCAGTGATAGTGTCCTCTTTCCGTACTCAAGCACTCCAAAAAGAAATCACAAACGCAGTCGTTTTGACATGTTTTTATTACACACCTATAAATTACGATTAGTAATATTCATAAACCCTCAAGAGTTCAAAATCATTCTAATGATTATAAGCTATTGTTCACCCATATAACTAGGTTTTAAATATTTGGCACGGTAATTTTATTATTATACACACGGAGTAAGAAACCCTTTCTAAGAAATATATTCACAATAGTCACTTGAGTACCAACTCAATTGGTTGGGTACTAAGTCGATGATACTTTGTACAAGGTCACTTAAAACCTCTTGTTTGCAATTCTAATAAAACAAAAAAAATGTACTCTGTTTTAACAAAATTATAGTTTTCGATTTGACATTCATTGGCTTTGGAAGCATTAATCGTGTTCTATTAAGACAGAAATTCGAAGTGGAAAAATGTTCTATTAAACAATTCGAATGAATATGATAAATCAGCAGAGTATCACGTGATAGGTTTGTGACCAGTATTTTTAGGTCCATATATTACAAAGAGGCCCTTTTCGGTAAGGCCTTATTGGTGTATGTATATATTGTTCCATGTTCACATACACAGGTCTTACAGGGCTGATTGTTCGTGTTTTGTATTTGTCGATGTTATACGTTTCCTGCAAACAATAAGAGTCAGRYATTTAATGATTATACTCCTACTAGGTAGCTAGGCAACTAAGAAGCTGGTTATGGGCRTGGCAACCCAATCAAAGYTCATGTTCTTACCGTAATGATTTAATAAGCACTGAAGGAGTCCTTGTAGACTTTAAGTCCATCTCCTAATGAGCCGTCGGGAGTAACAAGAGCCTGTAATTTTGACGCATCGTCTGATCCTCCATTTACAATAGCATGTGCAACTGTGATTGGCATAGTGCTGGGATTACCTGGTACATAGCCTTCCCTGAACACATCAGAAAATGTTAGAATAAAGGGTTCTTTTGCWTTGACGAGAGACGGACAGTCTATCATGTAGCAAGTTTCAATTGTAAGGTTATCTAGATATTTGTYCATGTGTTGAACTAAATTTGAAATCCGCCAMTGTTAACGACGCTTATGARCGATGAATTACCTGAAATATACGTTGGTGACTGAAGCTTTTGGATGTGGCATAAATCCACCATAACCGCCATATCCTTGACCGCCATAGCCTTGACCTCCGTAGCCTTGACCGCCATAGCCTTGATAGTAATCGTTTTGTTGCTGATCGGCCTCGTCATCACTTGCACCGAGGGCTACTTGGATCTACAGAAATTTTCSATGTGTTTATACTAGCGACATAATTATCTTGAAATATACAATGGCACACAGACATATTTGGTCTACTTACAGCCTTTATAACGTTTCCTTTAAGGATTTTTGTAGCAGCTGAATTATCATCTAAGTAGTCATCATGCCATTTTTGCATAAGTTTGAATGTTATTTCACCTATAATAATAACCATAACGATAATGGTAATTATATCAATAGAAGATAAAGTAAGAATACACTATTGCTCATCACCCTCGCTATCTGTATCATCCCTGTTGATTTCAATAAGGCTTCTTTACCTGGATATGGTTGATAAGTCTGTCTTTCTTTGCCTTCATCACCAGTTGGTGGTGCACAAGGGTTGGCACACTGCTGCACAACGTTAGGGTCACAGCAGGGACCGCCCATTGGCGCACCCATCGGTGCACCCATCATGGGTTGGGCCATTGGCATAGGTTGGGCCATTGGCATAGGTTGAGGCATTGGCATAGGTTGAGGCATTGGCATAGGTTGAGGCATTGGCATGGGTTGAGGCGGCGCCATCGGTGCCATCATTGGAGCTGGTGGGATTTGTGCAGCTTGAGGAGCGCATGGATTTAGGCAATTTGGTGCTGATGGTTGACAACAGTTATCGCCTGTATAGACTGGAGGGGGTGCTGGTTGAGGCATTGGTGGTGGAGGCCCTGCAAAGTTGATTGCAAATGCCTGTGGGGCAGGGGCAGGGGCAGGTTGTTGGCAGGGGTTCTGRCATGTGGGACCTGGTGCACAACAGTCATTGAGCATTTCATTTCCTGGTGCTCCATCTTCTGGCATAAACGCGAAAGGCTCCTGTCCTTGTTCTATTGGTGGGGCTTGGTCATCTTTTTTGGCGCTTTCTCCTTCTAGTCTTCTCGAGGGTGCAGCACGTGATAAGACAAATAATGTAAAGCACAAGAACGTTGATATTCTTAGCCTCATATTGGAATTAAAGGTCTGAAAATAGAACACGATATTAAACATAATCTTACATAAGGGCGCCATCTACAGATAGCTTAACGCTAGTCCGGGTAGGTTAAATTAATTAAGCTATTAATGAAAAAAAAGATAGCAAGACGAAATAWTAGGAAAAGACAATTTTAAAGACTACTCGCTATACTTAGCGATCAGTTCAAATGTTTGAACACTCAATACATTGTTGTGAAAAGTGTGATGTTCTTTGTTTGAAAAAGCCGCCATATATGGCCTAACAATTAGAAATAATTTTATGCTACAAGATCTACGAGTAGATCATATAATTTCTCTTTTTTATAACTCCCCGTGACACTAGTAGTTTGTAAAAAAATGAATTTCTGACTGACAGCCTCAATAACATTTGTACAATGCAAAACTCATTGTATGGCTTTAATGCTCTGTTACATGTATTATACTAACGTAAAGACCCTGGTGGCACGGAATGTCATATTCAGACACACCTAATGCAAAAAAAGTGATTCGTAATATTTTTATAGTTTGATTTTCTCTTGGAAAGGGTTCATTCCATCATAAACAATGATACAATAATTAAGTGACTAATTAATGACATGAGAACTGAAATATCTGAACATCTTGAATGTATGTCAGTGTAATTGAAAGGGAAATATAGGGAAATCATTGTGATAAGAGTAAAATAATTTAAAGATGTCGGTCTTTTGACCCGTACACATTATAACAGTAATTTACGTTTTAAATTGTTTCGATTTTTTATCATATAATCGACGTAACTTTTAAGTAAGCCATGGAACATGGACGAATTTATTCTCGTATGAGATTTAAGTTAGACTTATTATACTATATWTGCGTCGATAATTCGAGTATATTCAAAGTTTGTTTCTTTTCGTTCAGGTGTTTACGAATAACTCTACTCACCTGTTTTCGACCAAAAACTACTTTTCTAGAAGTATAATTCTTGGTATTCACCTTTGAACGAAAACAGGCGAATCAGTAATCAATGCGGGAAATACATGAAGTACTACGCGGTCGTTCACAGGATGACAGTCTTTGCACATTACTCATATCACCAGTCGATCTGGTACAGGAGACACATCCAGGTACTTTATCCCCTCAAAATGACTAATAAGACCCTTGAGATACTTTCATAATACTGTCAAATCATTAGCAACTTAAGGAATTGCAGATTGTTTTATATAATCGATATTTACCTTTCTTTTCCAAGCCTAGAAAGATGCGTTCCCAAGCTTAGCCGGACGAACAAACGAGGCGTTTATCAATAAAAAATAACAAAATTCCTGAGATATCAAGTTAGTCTCGGGTTTCGAGCTCCAACTTTGGAAACTACGTAACCGTGTAGATACAAACGGGTGCTCAKAGTGTTAGAAACAATCAATAAACATACTTTGAACCAATCAGAACTCTTCTCCTCAGGATTACATCATATTGTAGTCTGTGACCCGTTATACACAACAGGTGATCACCGGGATTGTGAAAAAAATCAAAATAATACGACTTTTCTTTCAAAACTGAAACAAAAAAGAAATAAAACGACCAAAGTGTAGTGCGAAAAAATACAATTCGCCTATTGGAGAGGATTTATGTTCATCAAACGGTGGATTTTGTGATAAGAATTTTGTTTAGCCTTAGCCAGGGTCAGGATTGGTCAATTTGACTTAACCATCATCTGATCTAATATCCCGRTATGAATATTTATACATATAGGCAATTACAGGCAACATTAATAAAGCTACTTTTTTATTACTTTTACAAAAAATAACCTTTTATGACACCGAAGAATACGTTTTAAAATACGAGATGCATGAACGTAACGGTTACCGATCGATTCACGCTCACGGTTCAATTGTCATGGTAACTGGAATTTACTTGTATTTTTTATATTGCAACTTTGACCTTATAAGCAGATGTCATAACTGAAGAGCTCAAAAAAATTGTCGGTTACTTCCACCTTAAGTAATGAAGATTTCTTTAAATCGCAAGACTTCTACCGGTAATTTYGTGTGTAATCAACCTTGATAAGGGAGGGGCTGCTTTCTGGCTAACCTGTGATCCACTCAAGCTCTACTTCATTACTGTACTCGCGGCCTCGCGCGGGATTCCTGCCGTAAAATATTAATTCCTCAGCCCAGTCCTCCTATAACTCTCAGTGATGCTGAACGAGTGATGAGTTTTCTTAGAGGTCTTGGGAACGAGTGAAAGGAAACTACATCCACCCATCAATGAAACCACGTGACATCATTTGGTTGTATCACACTGGACTTTTTAAGTATTTTTTATCTTTCATTTATTTACCTTATTCTYCTTATCATTTCTTTATTACAAACAAGTTATGAGCGAAACATATTTCCTTTTCACACACCAAATTACAAAAGAAAAAGAAACAAAAAAAAATTAAGTGGCCGAGTTTAACAATTCCAGAATTTAACAGGATGARCCCTAGCAWTAGGGTTTCAGTTGGCTAGGCTCCCAATATTTTTTTAACAACATAGCCCTGGAAATGGAAAAAARGGAATGTTAGGTACATCTTGAAATCATAGATAATTTCTTTATTTGGATGTAGTTTTCTTATAAGGAATTATTTGGATAGTAGTTCTTACCGGTGTCGAATAGATAAATAACGCCACGATCAATATCAGGAGGATTAGAAGTAGAGCAATAAGTATGTACCACTTATATCGCTTCCAAATGATGTACTTTAGAGTTTTGAACGGTGACGTGAACCACAAGAATGACGTAGCTGGTCGTCTGTCAATCATATCAAAATGTCAATCAATCTCAAAACAGCTAATTTATTCAATCTGGCATTTTTTTCGTAAGTTTTCCATTCAAATGGTCTAAAAGTGTCCTGAAGAAGCTCTTCATAAACCATATACTATTGAGCATAAATTATTACAGAGCTCCAACAATAGTGGAGCCGATTTCATATGACTGATGACGCTGCGCAGTCACAGAACTTCGCTTGGTAATTATTCCTTATAAAAATACGATCGCTGCACGATTGTTAGAGCAGTGCAGTACAGTTTTTTTTAGTTGTTGTTGTTGTTGTTTTTTTTTTGTTTTTTTTTGTTGTTGTTGTTTTTTTTTTTGCAGAATTGCGCGAAATCAGCTCGAAACATAACAGTTAACATCCGAAATAGTATCAACAGCATCGTCCTAAATAAAATATTGGTCATAGGGATTAAAGATTACTAAAATGAATTACTGAGGATCGGGCAGAGGAGGATTCTTGTTGGGATCTTCGCGTCCTTCTCCAGCAGGCCTTCTGTTTGCCTCATCTTCCGTTAACACTTCGATTGTCAATTCCAATTTTCCCTAAAACAAAACAAAATATAAGATACTAGGTAATTGTCAATAATTGAGTCATTTCTCTTTACAAAACTCTGGTACCAAAATTATGTGTGCACAAATGTGCCGAGATTTTGGGATAAAATCTTACCGTTAGCAATTCTTTGCCACACTTGTGCGAAGACACCGGAAACCACCCTCTAACAATGCGATGACTAAATAAATCAATGTCATTGGGGCTAGACTGCCATGATTGAAGATTGCATTTCCCTGCGGTTTGTGCAGGCTTAGTCACTTGAGTGAGATCGATCTCRGCGCTGCCTATAAAAGTCATAGCATGATACCAACGATGATAATTATTGTTTCCGTTCAATTTATAATTTCCAAATTACACAAAAAAGTCAAACAACGATAATCTTTTTTTCCTACCAATAAAGTCATCAGAGCCAATGATGTCATCATCCCATAYTTGGATGACAAGCTTCGGCGTAAAAGGAATGGTCGTTTCGCTAATACTCCAAATGTGTTCCTGSYAAGGAAAGTGCGTTCTTTATATGTGTTCAATAGTAATACATGGAGGGCCACGCCCATAAATACAGCCATTACCTTCTCAGACTTCACTAGTTTTTTATCGTAAGGAAGGTACATGAATGGAAAAATCAGTCTCCAGTTAAAGTTGCCCTCGCCATTCAAAGATCGGTAGTGAATGTCGGTCTCTTTACTGTCATCAATGCCATCCAACCACCTGYACACAAATCAATCATCAGTGGAAGACGGTCAAAGGTGTGACATATTRAAGCTAAGACCGAAGRGRATTTKGGGTACAAATCATGATTATATAGCGAAAAATTAAGAGTATTTTSGACCTGAAAAACACTAGTTTATACTTCACAATKTYGTTATATGCCTTCCCATGCTSCCTTTCGGTCTKAGTTTCAATGATGTYGCTGTTTTTTCAATTCGGTGTAAACAYAAGCTAGAATATATTTAAATTGTGCGATGATAAAGTCGTAAAAGAACAACAGRCGAGAGAAGAAACCGGATGTAAGATTGTTTKTTGCTTGAATTATGAACAAAAATGACTGATGATGATGACGCGGTGCCTTTACCCTTTAACAAAGATGTCACTCATTTTCTCGCCAGTAACCGATGTTTCCTGTAGTTGTACGTCACTAGTATTCCACACAACAACACGCAAGACATACCTAAAATACACAAGTGTATCAGTACATTAAAAGATCAGTGCAGGTAAGAATTACTAGGATTCTTACGGCTTTGGTTGTCTTGATGTCACGTCCACCGGTGGAGGTGGTTTCCCAAGGTGCTTTGGGAAAATATCAACCCACATTTSAAGTTGTCCCTGAGAAATAAAGAATTCATTCAAACAAAACCGTCTTGTTTTCATAAAGCTTTGATTGTATTTGTACCTGATTCATGTTGGGTTGCAATGAGCTGTAAAGAGTCCTGGTCTCGACATGCTCAGGAAGCAAATCCATTTGATTGAGAGCATGAAGGGCAAGCCGCTGATCATCACTACCGAGGTGCGCTTTTGACATACTATCATCATCCTCTGTTAAATCAATCGATCACACTGTATCAATTAATCACTCAATGAATAGCAATATCATTCAATCATACCTTTAATATCATCAAGAGTATATATCTTATCATCGACATGTAGRTTATCGACTCCAAATACAGGTGAAGCTTTGTTGTGCAGTGCGCACAAATCTTGAAGAATTCGCTTTGGTTTTTGGATGTCTCGCCACTTATAGATACCTGACCTAAAAAATCAAACAATGTCTTCTTGTACCTTCGTGTGCCGTTTTTCCTTTCTAAGAAATCATTGATTTACCTGTAGTAATCTTTCTGTARACCGCATGTCGCTCGGTATTGACTCAACAGCCTCTGCTCCAGATCAATTACAGTTTCCCCTATGACATCATCTTTGCCCATGACGTCACGATCTTTGATGATTATTTTTAGATCTTTTGCGAGTGGGATTTTACCAGTCAATTCATACATCCTAGAAAAATAATATGCTTTTTGCCTGAGTATSTTTTTAAATATTGACCTCAACCAATTCTAATTAGCTAATCAGTCTGCAAGTTGGTTATTATGCATGATAATACAGTAATTGAAAGTTCTAACCTTCCATATTCCGGGTTTACGTTGTTTGGGATAAAATTATCCTCATCGTCAATGGTCTTTTTTCCAAGGCAAATCGTTACATACGAATCGACCTGTTATATCACATTACTAACATTACTTGATACGTTCAAAAGGTATAGTATAGATAGAGTTCAACTTTACCATTCCATTGGCATCCTGGGGTTGTAAATTCAGTCCCTAAAACGGACAAAACATAAAGATTGAAGTAAAAATCAATTCCTTAAGGTTCACAGTGTAAAGTGTGTTAAATATATTATTATTAATATATCTGATAATTTACCTTGATGAC